AATTTTAAAACCGCACAAACAAAGAAAACCTTTATTCCAACTTTTATTCTCGACCTTGTGGAAACCACTGCTCTCACTGTCTCAGTGGATAATTCATAATAAACTATGACACTAATTGATTTTAACACATTAGTTAACATGATTAACTGTTGCTTCTTATATTTGGCAGCACTTGAGAATGTCATGTCAATAAAACGTATTAAAAATGGAATAGTTTGGAAACCACAATGAGTGTGCGATAGTTTAATTTGTGAGAAAGTTACGTTAACGTGCGCTGAGTGAAAAACAACAGCAGGCGGCTCAGATCGGAAACGACCTCTTGAGCTGAGCCGTGTTTCCTCCTCCACAGAGTTCGATAGATAAACAGAGGCGGCGCAAAAAACAGAAGAAGAAGCCAAATCTAATTTACATGAGGAAATAGAAAAAGTTAAAAAAGAGCACAAACACGCAAATTCAGCGATGAAGTGAATTGAACGATCACTGCAGGAAGGGAAAGCTCTTAGCTGATGAATCCTAATAAAATCTGACTGATAGTAATTATGCTGATGTTGTTCTGTGGACCTTAACCTTTTAACTGAAAAACTGAGAAGTCTGCAAATCCTCCCATCCATTAACACCTGAGGGAGGAGGAGAGATGGGGGGAGGGAGGGGAGGGGGGACGAAGAGAAGAGGCAAAACACAGAGAGATGTGAAGAGAGAGGAAAAGGAAGCGTAGAGGGAAATGAAGAGAGGAAGGAGATGTACAGATGAGGAGGAGAAACAGGTTGTTGAGAAATGAAAAGATGTGGAAGTGCGAGAAAAAAGAGGAGAAGAGAAGAAGATGAGAGTCTGGTTGAGAAATGGAGACGAGAAGAAGGAGGGATGAGGCAGAGGAGAGGAGAAAAGGAGCGTGTAGTGAGAGAGGAAAGATACGGAGGAATGGAGGATTAGAGAAACATGAGGAAGGGATGAGATGTGAGGAGAAAAAGAGGAGGAGTCGAGGAAGTTATTGAGAAGAGAGGAGAAAGAGGAGATGATTGAAGATGAGAGAGTAGAAAAGGAGAAGAAGAGGAGATGATGGGTGTGAAATGGAGAGAGGAAAGAGAGAGGGATGAGGTGGAGGAGAAGATGAAGGGAGGGGAGGGGGGAGGGGGGAGGGGGGAGGCTACACATATCAGCTCCTCTCCCGTCCGTGCGGCCTCGGGAATGGAAATGAGAGAAAGCCACACGGCCTCATTACATTCATGCCCACTGAGGGGCTCGGCCTGGTCTAATACCTGGAGTGTGGAGATGAAGTGCAGTATAATGTCCTGAGATAAAGGATCAGGATAACACGTGGAACACTAACCTGCTTCGCCGCCACTGTCCTCGCTTCCTGCTGTGAGCCGCTCCGCCCTCTCGTCGTCTTCTCCTCCCGCTTCACCCGCCGAGCGTCTCCTCGCCTCCCCCCCTCCTCCCCCCTATCTGCCTCTCTCATCGGCGAGCAGTTAATTTTGGGATTAATACGCGTGGCGGCTGGCTCTTTTGAGGGATTTGTAGCGGAGCCGCAGACACTTATCTTGGTCATTACGGTGCCCATATTGGATTCAAGCGTTTTAGTATCTGCCAAACATTCGGCTGCGGAGGAGTCTATCGGGCCGACACGTGCCCAGGGATTAAGATAAGGAGGCCCCTCATTACGACTCCTCTCCTCCTGCGGCGCACTGACACTCGCAGTGGCCGCGACTTCTCTTCCAGCGACATCACAGAGGAGGTGCGAGTCCTCACCTCGCCTCTCTTTCGCGGCACCAGAGGACACGGCAGGGAGAGAGGGAGGGCTGTCGTCTTTCGGTTGGCGGCCGGGCCCCTGGAGGGAGGCGGGGATGGCGGTTGAGGGCGAGGAGGTGGAGAAGGAGCTGTAACGAGGCTCCAGGAGAGGAAGGAAGGAGCGCTGTGTCTCCTCTGTCTGGTTCCTGTCCAGCACAGACTCCTCTGAGGGACACAAGTGGCTCAGAACATCCCCTGGTTTGGAGTGAGGCTCCTCTGGAGTCAAATATGGACAACTCTCAACTCCTGGACTGCTCCTCATCGAGTTCTCCTTCAGTCGCAGCGTCCGTGGTTTCCTGGTGAGCACCATACTGTAGCAGAGCGGCGGGCCCAGGTAGACCTCCTCTGTGCAGGCTGCGAACAGCGTCTCCTCATCCCTGATGTCGGGGCTGGGGGGCAGGGATTGCGACGGGCTGGTCGGGTCGGTGCCGTCAGCATCTCTGTCTGCCGACCTCAAGTCCAGAGCGCGGAGGTCGTTCTTGGAGTCGAGGCTCGGGGAGGAGCGATGCCGCCTGGTGCTGGTGTACAGCTCCGGGCTCGGGCTGCGGAGGCCCTGTGTGGGTGTGGTGTACGACGGGATGCTGTACGGCGCTGGGGTGGAGCTCTTGTCCTCGGAGCACTGGCTGACCTCGCCGCAGTCGCTGTCGTGGGAGGAGAGCGACAGGTAGGAGTAGAAGTCTCCCTTACGGAGGTGGAGAGGCCGGTGGGAGTGTTCGAGCACCTGAGGGGGGGAGGGAAGTTTACATTTTTAAAATGTAGATGATGAGTTCACTGTTAACGAAACATATAAATCAATCATTAGAATTATTTTGTGTGCGTCTTCTCTCTTTTTCTGTACAGATGTACATTATGACACGGAAATAAAAATGTATTTATTTATATAGATTCGTGTAATTTACTTATTTATCTACTTCACATTATTACCAACCACACATCCTTTAGTTGCATATTCATATTTCACAGGAGGAGCAGAGTTTTCTGCCTGACTTCTTTTTCTTTTCAGAAATAAAGTGAAGACTGGAAACTGATAAGCTTTGAGATTCCCTCTCTTGCAATAGATACTGAAGAAATTAGTCATTACATCCTAACAGTTATGATCCGTGATGCGATTTATTGAATTACTTCAACTCAGTGAACAAATTGACTGAGATAACTTTTGCTACTTTTGCATGAATTTTTCCCCAAAATGAAAACAACACAATAGACGAGGTCAAACGAGGCTTTAAATCCGAATCTGTGAAAATCTCTCAATCATTCACTTTATTATCTGTTGCTTTAATCTCTGTTTGATGAGGTTTTTACATTCATCAGAAATCAGTTTGCGTGGGATTTCTTTGTATCTGACTGTTTTTCAGTTCTGTACCTTGTCTCTGATCTGTGTCAGCGACGCAGGGCCGTGGTCCGGACTCGACCCGCCGACCTCCACCTGGTTCAGTTCCTCAGGCTGATTCTCTTTGCTCCTCAGCGCCAGTGAGGTCATGTCAATAATCTCCATCACGAAGTCGTGCACGTTCTCCGTCTTGCCCTCGTCCACGCCGCACGGACGGGGGGAGGAGGAAGGGAGGTGGTCGTGGCAGGACGCGTGACAACCGCGGCGTTTTTTGGGAGGCAAGGACGATTCTTTGTCTCTGACCTCCCTCCTCGTCTCCTCCGTCACAAACGATGAGAATTTGAACTTTTCCTGAATGGTGATGGCCTTTCTTCCGCCAGCCGCCGGCCTGCTGTTGTGCAAGGCATCGTGGGATCTGCAGTCCTCAACGGGCGAGAGGGACAGAGGCGAGGGCAGGGAGGAGCTGTGGCAGGGCAGCTCTCCCTGCAGCTGTCCCACCAAGGAGGAGGCCCGTCTGAATGGGAGGAGTTCACAGGTCGGAGATGAAGAAAGCTGTTTCGTTGAGTTTGATTCCGTTTTCACGATCAAGTCGCCGACGTCCCGAACCGACTCTCCTGTCTGAGCAAACACGTACGATTCCCTCACTGACTCTCCTTTCTTGGTGAACACACTCGACTCCTCTCTGAGGAGCTCATCATCTTCATCTTTCCCCTTCAAACAGCTCTGATCCACATTTCCGTTCTCCACGTCGTCTACAAACTGGCTGATGTAGCTTCTTGTTGCATTCCTCCTGTTCTCCTCCTCTTCCTCCTGCTCCTTTTTCTCTCTTTTTGTTTTGTCGTTGCCACTGTTTGTGCTCGTCTCTATTAATTTAGCAGCTGAGCGGTTTAGGAAACCTTGCTGCTCCTTGTTGTGAGAGGAGGTGGTGAAGGAGGAGGACGGGTGGGTTCCACACTGCAGCTCATCCCTGAGACCTGCCTCAGTTTTAGAGGAGTTGCGAGGAGATCGGATCCAACTCTGCAGCTCGCTCCTCATGTACTCCAGTCCCAACACGTAAGAGCCCTCCATCTCCTCTTCATCATCATCGTCGTTACCAGATGAGGCACAGCTCAACCTCTCCTCCTCTTCGTCCTCTCCTTCCCGTACGCCAAGCTCCTCCTCAGTGAGCGTTAGCGTGGAGGAAGACAGGAGGTCACTGTCATCCTCGTCTTCGTCCGTGCACGCCGATGTACAAGACACATTTACCACCATGCTCAAGCTCGCCGCATCGGCTTCATCCATCGCTTGTCCTCCTCGGCTGTTACCGTGACAACGTTTCCTGTAAGAGCCTGAGTTAGCATTTGCCGCCATGTTGGGATCCAGGAAGTGGTGGCGCTGATTTCTGAGCAAGGCAAAATCTTCAGACCCTACAGATGAGTCCTCAGTGCTGCTCAGCTCCGTTAGCGATGCTGTGGCCGAACTTTCGTTGATCAGGGATGGCGGTCCTTTCCGTGAAGAACTTGACGTTCCATAGAGGGGTGTGGGTCGACCACCAAAAGAAGGAGAGGCAGGGAGTCGGCTCCGCGGCGGGGAGCTGCTCCGAAGCGTCATGTCAGAAACACTACGGGTCATTTTTGCCGTCAGAGGACTCTGGATGTTCTCCAGGCGTTTCAGGAGATCAAGGGTTCTACGACTCAGCTCCCCAGAGGATGGTTCTCCCTGCACATCACTCTTCATTTCCTCTGCTGGTTCTCCTCCCTCCCCCTCTCTGCTCGGCCCCAGATCCAGCTCCACGAGGCTGGCCAGGCTGCCTCCGTTCTCCCCTTCAGTGCTGCGACACGGCGCCAGGCAGCTCTCCAGAGAGGCGCTACGATGCAACGGGTCTTTGGAGGGAAACAACTCCACGCCCAGCGCCAGCAGAGACTCCAGGGAGGAGCCCTGAGATAAGACCGGACTCGACGCTCGGCGGCTCCGAGCAGGAGTCGACTCCAAACTGTTCAACTGGTCGACTTTGATCCCTGTGATGTGACTGCGAGACACAAAAGGCTTTGAGGAGTCCACACCGAGTCCTCCTGCCTCAAAGTCGGAGTCAGAGTCCGTCGGCGTCAGGATCCCACGCCTGTTGATCAGGACCTCAACCGCCTCTCCTCCTCCCCTCCTGTTCTTCCTCCTCTTCTCCTCCTCTCTGTTTCTTCTACTTTCACCTCTGTTTTCCTCCCTCCTCCATCCTTTGTCTTTCTTGTTGTCCTCTGTCTTGTTTCTTTGGTTGTACTTGGTGACGTCTTTGCACAGAGTCACATCAGTTTCGTCCTTCCTCTGCTCATCTTCCTCAACTTCCTTCTCCTCCTCCTCCTCTTCCTGGATTTCAGAGTTTGTTGCTGTCTCTGTTTCTCCCGTATCACTAACAATCCCGCTCTCGCACTCTGACCGACGACTGTTTGCCGACTGCCCACTTCCCCTTCCACCTTCCCTCTCACTCTCTCCATCCAGGTATCCACTGATCTTATCTCCCCCTCGGCTGTTTGACATCAAACCTCCCAGGAGGTCCGGGAGGGATTCGATCGAGGAGAAAGAGGAGTCTTTGCTCAGGCTCTTCAGCAGGAGTTGCTGCTTTTGTTTTCCTTTGAGAGATGAAGAATTGAGAGGAAACTGTGGTTGTCTGTAAAGCTCGACGTTATGGAGGTTGTAGACCTGGTAGATGTTATTGTTGTTTGGGGGGACAGTTTGGGACGTCCCACTCTGACTGGTTTGGACTCCACTTTGAATCCTGTCAGGTTGATTCTCATTGGACAACTCAATGTCCAAAGGCAGATCTGGTTCTGTGGTGAGGTTGTGCATTAGGTCGGGTTCTGGTTCTTCTTGTGGTTCTGCTTCTGTGATTGTCATATCGGTTTCATCCCATTCCCAGGAGTCCTCGGGCACAGGGGCCACTGGACCAACCGGTACTGGGCTGATCTGGCGGAGGTCGACTAGACCCGGTTCAAGAAAGTTCCCGGGAACCTGAAGACAGGAAAGAAAAGAGAGAACGAAAGAAAACATTTAAAAATAGTTCAGCAAGAATAAAACTTTCCTCAAAGAGAGTGTATCCAGAACAAACTTAAGAAGGAAGAAACTGAACCACAATGAAAACGAATATTTCTGAATTCAGCGGATTTGTCATGTTTGTATTATCCATCAAATTGATGCCCCACTCCTGTACTGCAGCCAGTCACCAGGGGGCGATCTAGACCCTTAGGCGCCACTTCTGAGTCACGTGTTCATTTAGAGTCTATGATTGTAACTTTATTTTAACAGTATATTCATCTCATCTTGATGATGGAAGAATAACACAATCATAATAATCATAATCTTAATTTTAATAGTTTTCTTTTCACAAAGCCTAATTTAAGAGCTGCTCATATTATCGTCTGCAGCGTAAAACCCCGAGGATCCCATTCACAAGTGCTGTTGTTTATCTACATTATCATTTAAAGTGAATGAAACGTTTTATGTTTCTAAAAACTGATGGACAACATGTGTTTTTTTTTTTTTTGTCCTGCTTTGACATCAAACTCTTTTAAAAGACGCTGCCGTCCTTTCTGTCCCGGCTCGGTTTGAAAGACGCACCCCGACACCCGACTCTGACAGAACACGTCCTGTGATCATTTAAAAAAAGAAAAGAAGGAGTAAAATCATCCCACCCCAAAGCAATTGCTCATAAATCTCAACACAAATTATTCCGCTCTGGAACAAAGCGATGAATTATTCAGAAACGACTTCTGAGAGAAAGAGCACGGAGCTGAAAACCCCAAAGTAAATACGTAATCAAAATCCTTCAGAAAGCTCGGCTGTCTAAAAATATGCTTAGACACAGGAATTCTTCCTTCCACAGACATAATTATACAAATTGCTCCGCGTCTCATTAACAAGAGAGGGGGGTAATTCGTATTAGCCATTCATAGCCTATTAATCTAATAAACTAGTTGGCTCTGTGTGTGTGAGTGTGAGTGTGAGTGTGCGGATGTGGGTCTGTGTAATGAATTTCTATTAGATTTGTGTTTATTCCCCCTGTGCTGATAAGGGAGAAGGGTGTAATGACTGAACTGGGTTTTGCTTCTGCAGATGCGTTCAGAAACACATCCAGCGCCGAGGACAGAGAATATCAATCAGCCTAATCCAATCAAACCGGGGATCTGATGACCCGCGGAAACCTTGGATGTAATCTAGATCTGTAATGTGTCGCATTTCTATGATTTCGTGACAGTTTGAGCTGTGAGTATTTCTATGAGGGAGGGGGGGGAGGGGTGACTCCTGGTGTCCGGCGGCCAGAGTTTCTTCAAACACACATTTTTAATTTGAAATCCGACAAATAACTCTCAAGTGTTGCTGGGAACCTGCCAGAGAGGAAGAGCTGGCACCGGGGGAACAGCGGTGAGTGTTCCGCTGTAAACTGATGCTGAGGTTCTGTCAGGATCCAGGGATTTGTTCTTCACCTGCACAGATGTCCATTTGTCAGGAGATTACATCAGAGAGCTTTTTATCTGACATTAAAAAATGAAATATTTAAAGGAGACGTAAGGAGACGTGGTTCATTTCCTCTTGTGCGTTAATCAGGTTTTAGTTTTTAATGTTTCACCTCCGTGCTGATATCTGATCAAGGGGCGGGTCCAGATTTAACAATCCTCAACATTTTCACACAGTTTTAATTTTGGCTTTGATGTTTCGCAAACAACGTACGTGAAGCGCGTTTAAAACCAGAAGTGTTCATCATCTGGGAACCAGGAACCAGACCCGCACTCGTTCTGTCAATCTGCTTAAACAGAAAACTGCATTTTCTCAAGAACATTATCAGACTCTGGGGTTTACGCCTCCTCCTCCTCCTCCTCCTCGCTCCAATCACCTCCACAGACAGTGTGTGTGTGTGTGTGTGTGTGTGTGCTGAATGTTTTTGGGGAGAAACAGGGAAACTTTTTTTTTCCCATTAGCTCTGGTTTGACTGCTCCCATTTGTTAGCATAGCATCTGAAGGCCCAAGGAGAGCGGAGCTATCTAGCAGCATCTGGGTGATTATTCATGTGC